TCCTCGTGGCGGACTGTTACATCGACTACGTGGACATCTTCCCTGCTTTTTATTGCCAGGTCGGGTTTAACTCCTTCGGCAACGGAGAAATGGCTTCCGTGAACACCACGTTGTCCGATTTCCAGAGCAACCTCCCTTCTATGATCTCGTCATGACGCTTTATTCTTGCTGGCTTCGTAAAAATGCCCTGACCGAGGATGTGATTCATGGTTTCTACTGCTGTATTGCACTTCCTGCAGTATACATCCCCTTTGGGCCTTCCCCTACTAAGAGTAGTTTTATTGGTAGCGGTATTTGATCTCAATTGGAGAGCAGTGATAAAAAGACTAGGTTTCAGAAGATGATAATCTTTCAAAAAGGCATTTCCAATCGGATCGTTTATATGCGCTCTAGCCGCTCTCCCTTGGGATCCCAGCTTCTCCCAGGCGGCTACTTCGGCATCGGTGCATTTCTTCTTACAAGCCCCTAAATCGAGTTTAGAATAGGGCCAGTTGAGCCTCTGTTTTGCGGTCTTTAATGTCCGTTGGTAAACACGTGGATAGTAACTCAACCATTTGCAAATAGGATCTGCAGATTTTTCTAATCGTAATCCTAGGTTCAGCGCAACTCTGGGAACGAGTTGGGCAAACAGCAGCAATTCCAGTCCTCCATCTCCCGTGGCCAGATAGAATAAGCCATCTGCAGCACTCATAGGTAGATGTAGGAAATGTTTGACTGCCAGTCTGATTTGACCGTCCGTGTCCCTGAGCGTCGACATAGATGACATGGGTAAAACTAATTGATAAAGGTAATGTAGGTATGAAGTTATGCCAACTTCTGAGTGGGCTTTAAATGCGCTTTCTGAAGCCTCGACACTGCTTCCATCAAATTCGATATGGATGCTTTAGATGGGAAGCCATTCCACATACAATAGTTCTCCAGCAGGTATGTTAGTGTATGATCATTACTGACCAGACGAATTCGCTCCCCCAACCTTTCGAGACAGGGGTCCTCAATGAACCAGGATCGTTCAAAAGTTGTAATTTGAAATTATGAACATATCGCACCGAACAATGTCATTCCGAAGGTCCCAAGATATTCCACCACAATATCAACCAATTCCTGAGCTCTTGGGGCATCTTTTGCTAACAGAACCAGATCGTCAGCAAATACTAACACGGGCACACTGCTTTCCAACAGCGTGTATCCTGACATGTTTTTCAATTCTTCAAGGAGGAACTCTATGCTGAGATTAAAAAGGAGTGGGAACAAGGGATCCCCGTTTTACTTCTCTACGAATTAGCACCTCAAATCCTTTCGAGGGGTGCTGAATGACGGTGGAAACATCGGCGTAAGAGTCCATTACCAAATTGGTAAACGCATCAGGGATCCCTTTCCTGGACAGAGTCCACCGGATCGCCGCGTGAGGAACAGTGTCAAATGCTTTGGATATACCTAGTACAGCACCCATACCACCCTCTGTTTTTTCATGTCACAGGCTGCTTCATGAAGAATATGAATATCAGCGAAACAGACAGGTTCAGGGATAAACCCTTTCTGGCGTGGAGTGAGCTTCACCGCGGATCGAATGCGTCTATAATGCCCCAAAAGATTCTGCACGGCAGAGAACTAATTTTGATGAGCGATAGTTACTGACAAACATATTATCCTTACCTTCTTTTGGTATAAGGATGGTACGATCAGCTTTCCATCCAGAAGGCACAAAGCCACTGCATAAAATTTGGGTACAATAGGGACAATATTTCAACTTTTGTCTTATCTGGACCTGGAGCCGTTGCATTTTTCATCCCAGCCAGACGACTTTTAATTTCGGCATCTTGTACCGCTTGCACTATAGAATGGTCCATTTCAGGTGTCAACAATTTATCACCCTCTCTTAATTTGAAAAACCGAATTGGGGGAAAGCCATTTGGGACACCCCAAATGGATTTGGACACGTCATTAACCTCATCCCTGTTAAGGGGCTGTTTATGTACACCATTACAGTCAATGCCTTTTCTAATGCACTTTGCCAAACGCGCTGGATCGTTCTTAAAAAGTTCCTGCGCCATAGCATAAGAGTAGCGCGGTTGCCTCCGTGTCTACGGGGTCTTTCAGAACTGATGGTGGTGGGTACAGAGGTGCCGCCCAAAATTTCCACTAACTTGGCATAGGTCTCGTTCAATTGGTCCTGTCATTGAATATTTAGAGTTCATTTCCGACCTCTACGAGTTCTTGATCTACATTATTTTGAGCAGTGCTCCATGTTCCTATCCAAGTTGAAATGTTTTCCGTCCAGTTAGACTTCTCATCTAGTGTGGCTCTGTTAAGACAAATTTCAGTAGTTACGTCTCCGGGCGTCATAGCAGCCGAGGATTCAATATAAGGTTGGTCTCGTCCTAATCGACCAGCGGTGTGGGAACAGGCCATGTCAATAGCAGATAAAACAGAATCAATGAGGACGGGCACAGCTGAAAGCTCCTGATTCATTTCTGAAACTATAACGGCCTCCTCGTTAGGGGATCACCCCCAATCTGCTTCCGGGGAGGCAATGTCTACCATTGCAAGTTCCTCAGGGGAACTTCCAATGGATTTTGAATGGGAAACGGAGCAAGACTGTTTGCTTATCTCGACCTGTAAAGACGTTTCCACCCCCTTTGAACAAGTGTCAGAGCAGGGTATAATCGGTTTTCTTCCTGTCCTAATGGTAGACCTTCGATACAATGAAGAATAATAAACCAGCATAGTGATTTGGCTTACTGGAGACTTCGGAGGTCTAATGACCCTGCGAGGCGATGCGGTAACCGCAACACTAGTAGGTCTAGTTGAATCATCGGACCACCGACCAACAGGTGGGGACGTTGAGGATTCTGCAGTGACGGCAGCTTCAGTTTCAATGGTTGCTAAATATCTTCAATATGTGTTTTCTTTTCTCGCCCACCTGTCGGGCGGTCTTACCCAGAAAAGCGGCCAAATTCTTGCTCGACATCTCTGGTTGCTCTTTCTCCAATGTCACCATTTTCATTATTTCCTCTGAAGAGAAGACTTTCCCTGCTCGAGGCACAGAAGTCCTACCACTACGCTACGCCTAGGCAGCTCGAGCCCTATTAGCTGAGTCTGGATGAGCATGGCGCAAATGTGAGACCCCTGATTTGCTTGCGAAGTTGACGGAGCATATCTCACATACAAAGTCTCCTTTAGATTCTTTTGGACCAGGACACCTAGGGAAATAATTCAAAGGTGATCGCTTGCCTTGTTAATTCTTGCTGCATTTGGAGCATAAAAAGATTAGGGATATATCGCTGTGGATAGTATCGTGATGCCGAACCATGTTATTGAAGTCGGTAGCCATGTAGCCACATCCTCGTTTCTGGGCATAATGTGCGCAGCGACTCGCCTCGAAGAGAATCCTAATCTTGAGCCGTTCCAAGCTACGGTCATAAAAGGTGCCTGTTGTTCACGGGGCGCGCCACCATGCGCACCCGCGCCCGAGGCTTCGTTAATAGTGTCCGCTGCCAGACGCTCCGAGGAGCTTGACGGGGACGTGAGCTGCAGACCCTCGATCTCCTTCTCCCGTGACCTGGGGTGCCCGAGATGTTTTTTTTCTGTCAGGGATTTCCTTCCCTTGCTAGATGCTCACGTTTTAAGGCGCCGGAGACTCGCATATCGCCCATCCCTCTTGGCTGCACCTCAAGTTGCTCCGAGATGCACTACGAGGGGCCACCCCACTACCCCTTAGCGGCCGGCAGCGAAACGTACTCTCAAATTGAACCTCTAGAAATCCGCCATTAGAATGGCAAAATCGCGCGGGAAATTAACTATTGCCCTTCGTCTATGGAGAAAATTTGAGATACACTTGTGCTTCTAATTTATTACTCTACAGGAAGCATTTTTCGAAAATATTTCGGAAAAGGAGTTTTAAAGAACACGGTATTAATATAATAAAATATATTCCTGGAGTATATTTCAAGAATCCAAAAATTTCCTTCAAAATCATTCCTGTTGTGTCATCACACTTGATATACTGATTATCAAAAAGAAAAATTTTTATTTTAACAAATCAATGATACCTATATGATGTATTAGTTCACATTCGTATTATAACAAATAATGTACTTCAGCTTCCGGGTCAATGACCCCCATCTCGATCAAGTTTTTGTCCAGTTTCCATTAAGCAAATGCTAAAAATTTGGTCCTGATTTTATAATAAAAGAGGATGTAATCAAAGTCATCCTCAGACTTGCTATTAACCCTTCAAATATGAAGAAAATAAAAAGCTGATTAATGTAACATATACCACATTTTTGAAATTCTCCCTCCTCACTGCTTTTACCCACTTCAAGCACAATTCTTTATTAGAAATGGGACATCTATATGTTTAGAACATCATATAATGCAAATAAATCGTTTATGACGATAACAACCATTTACTAATCACTTGAACATACCTGTGAAACGTAATTTTACTCCCATTTACATCTATTTTACCAGGGCAATTATACACACAACACGAAACTACCATTATAACTGTAATATAATATATACCAATTTAAATCAATAAATTTCTATGATAAGGCTCATTGGATTTTTGTTAGATAACTCACAAGAAGTTAAGTTTAACAACGTTATTTATCCATAAAAATATGGTCGTGCAGTAACTTATCAATGTGCAACAGAATTTACCTTTTCAAAATTCCTCATATTGAATTAAAATTAACATCACACTGCATATGTATCCTTAAACAGCTTGAAAAAACCACTCACGCTAATTCGCAGTTAACAGCTGATCGCTTTTGCCATCCTAATGGCGGCAACAGACCTCTTCAATTTGGGAGTGGAACAATAGCGCCCGTGGCACATCTAGCGTCTTCTTAAATGCTATATCTATGGGGCCACTGCAAGGAGGTGAGAGAATGGACTTGTCGACCCTGCAATGGCAAACCCATTACAGGTGGCTATTATGGCCATATGGTTGCAATCCCATTATAGGAGGTCTTCTAGGTACCTACTGGTAGGTTTACTAGCACCGCCTACACCACCGAGACCCAGGGCGATATCAGACCCCCATGTTAGCAACTTCGCAACCAAATCAGGGGTCTCACATTTGCGCCATGCTCATCCAGACGCAGCTAATAGGGCTTGAGCTGCCAAGGCACAGTGTAGTAGTAAGGCTGATGTGCCTCGAGCACGTCAAACCAGAGACGTCAAACGAGAATTTGGCCGCTCTACTGGGTAAGACCGCCCGACAGGTGAGTGAGAAAAGAAAAGAGACCACATATCAAAGATATTTAGCAAGAATTAGCTGCCGTCACTGCAGAATCATCGTCCCCATCTGATGGTCGGTGGTCTGATGATTCAGATGTTAGAAGTAATTTACTACGTATACCAATAGCATTTATCCACAATTTTGTTAGCGGAGCCCGGCAAACTAGTTTTTCTGCTGAAAATTCCCAGTTTTAAGGTGCACAATTACATGATTTTCTCTTCTTACGAAGTAAGAAGAGAAAGTCAATATAACTTAGTACAAAAAAGGTTGTGGCATTCTAAAGAACCACTAGCTATTTGCTGAAGTTTTCAAGTTAACTTTGATCATCCTACTTTGGCAAGGTCATGAAATCTGACTTGGTAAATGAATCAACAAAAAAACCTTTTCAATTATCAATATTTTATTTTTGTACTTCAATTTATATAATACACAGTGATTCCTATACTGCTAATGAGTAAACAGTAGTACAAAGAACGTCCTACATCCCACTAATTCCAAACATATCAATTTTTCCAATTTTCCTATCAATAGTTTTCATTTTGCAAATATGCATTATGAAACAGACTTTGACTTAAATACCTTAATCTAACATAGTCTTACATTTCTTCTTTCAATTAGGCATTACATACATACATTACATTGCTTGAAATAGTGTGTCTATAGATCCTTTCTAGCTGCAACTTCATGTATTGGCCACTTGTTCATATTCCACAATTCACAATCTTTAAGTTTCTATTTAGCTATTACAACTAAAACAACTACTATCAGCTACTTCACATTACAAGTAACAGAACAAAATAAGAAACTGGCTGGAGTCTATACATGAAACGAGTACACAAATTAAATATCTGAAGCTTATAAATAATACAAAAACTTAAAATAGTATGATTCTTAAAATAAACAAAACAACAAGAATGAGAACACTTGAAAATGGTTTTCACACATCTGAAACAATTTCTTGCATGTTCATTACATCCAATCAAAAATACCTGATAAACTCTTATTCATGCCAAGATTATGAATCTCAATATACATCAATGCTGAAGTTAGAAGAGATTGAAGTTTCATAGGAAGTGCGTAGTCTTAAAAGAACTAAGAGTTGAAAACTAAAAGGAAACATTCATGTTAAAAAGTTGATCAAGGGAACTAGTGCGTTTCCTTCACATTTGAGTTTCATGATCTGGCTTCAGAGCTTTGTGGCTCTGTTCTCCCTCTGGCTCGTGTCCACGCTTTCTGGCTCTCTCCTGACCACCCATAGTGTGGCTAGGACTTGCAGGGAGGACCACAGTTGAAGCATCAGAAAGAGTAGAATCACTTACAGATGAACTGTAAAAAGAAAGAAAACAAAAATATAACTGTACAAAGCGTTTAAGGTGCACAAAAAACATTCTCTTTCATTATAATACAAGCCAGTGAAATTGTCAGTCCCTAAATGACATTTCTGTGGATGAAAGCAATATGCTACAACCTGTGGCTTGTGCAAATAAAATGAATATTAAAAAATACCAAAAAGCTTTGATGTTAAAGTAATAAAATGTGTACTCTTAAGCTAAACATGCACATTTAAAAACCCTTATCCTCTAAATGGATAAATAGTCCTTCACACCACCAAATACTAGAAGTTTGTAAGAGACTGCAAAACTGTTATGAAGAACCTTCACCACACTATACATTATTTCACAAAGCAAACTACTACTTAGAGCATTTGAAGAACAATAAAGGAGCAGAACTACAAAACACGCAAAGGGCAGGCACTGCAAACTCGACAGATCACCAGAGTAGTGCAACAGATGGCTACTTTCCTGTGAAATTTTTTAAAAAAGTGCTCACTGTTAACTCAGCAACCTAAAACTTCTCCTGTTGGTTCACATACAACTTTCCTCCTGCAAGATTCTTAAAATATTACAACTGATCACTGAGACAATGGTTGGTGTTGTTCATGTGCATAAAATAACAAATCTCTCAGAATTCATCTCTACATGGTCACAATTCATCAATTTAAATTCATCTTATTTAAACAAATTACATGTTAATCTTATTTTTCATTAATTATTAAACATTTTATTTCAAAATGCAGCATGGTGACAGTAGGAACTGGGTTCTAGGTCTGAACAAACTTGCAAAAGCCTGAAATCAGCTATATCAGACAAGAGATGCAATTACTTACTTCATTGTTCCCAATCAGCCCTGGCATTTAGCAAATCTTATCAATATTTCTTGGCATACCTGAAAAGGGACAAACATACAAAGTCGCATCCATGCGAGCCTAAGTCACATTCACTCACTCAAAATTTAAGCCAATAAAATACTGTCAGTAAATAAAAGGAATCCTTCATGCACCACCTACAAAACGTATTCTATAATTAGCAACAACACATTGAAATCCATGCAATAATTAATAATAAAATCGTTAAGTTTAAAAGAAACTGCAAAACCTCTTTCAACATTCAAGTATGTTGTTTCAAAGTCTAAATGGGAGATTCTGTTGGCATAATTCTATCATCCCTTTGAACAATCACTGGGATCAGCAGTTCCTTTAGTTCAATAATTGATTTGATTCTCAAGCTGAACAGTTTAAATTCTGAAATATACAGCGGATGTCAGAGCTTGCAAGATTAATCTGCCTCTGAATCTCCATCTCCAATCTCTTCAATGCAATCACAAAATTAAAGCACAAAATAAATGAAAATATACCTTTTATATTATTCCAAAATACAAGCTCAGGGTTTAATGAACAGAATATCATTACAACTTAATAGCAATAAACAGTGCTATTCCAAGGCAAAACTTTTTTTTAATACATTAAGGATTTTAATAAAGTACTCTGTACATTTTCAATTCTTGGAATAAAAAAATATATATTTTTGAGCAAACATAATAATTTACTTTCCAGGAGAAGGAATTGAAGTAAACATTCACCTTCATTAAGTTCACTGTATATTTTATTGCATTTCTTCTGTCTTATTTAAAAATATGATATTAAGAAGTATCCTACATTCAGACAAGTATTTTATTAACTAAAAAGAAGAAAAGAATATCTGTGACGAGCTCTTTCTAATCAGTGAAAGCTCACAAACAATAGATTCTATGAAAAGATGAATCGTTAGAGATAAATATTTTAACAAAATAAACACAAATATGCACCAACATATTAATCTACCTTGCATCCAATTTTAACCAAAGATCAAGAAATTTCCCTTAGCTATACTGTGAAGCGCCAGACAAAAATATGCATCAATTTAGAAATCCGCTCCCTAGTAATCAAAAACAATGGAGCCATTATTTTTAAAATGCCTAAGACATGTAAAGTACCCACCAAAATTAAAATTTCGGTTTGAAATTCTAGGAGCTGTGATATCAGTCAGATTGATGGGAGAATATCAATTTTTGAGAAAAATCGGCTGATCATGGCCGTTGGATCGTTGTTCATGGCCAGACGTTTTTCCATCAATCAATTTTTCAGTATCAAAGACCCACAAAACATGGATTCTGGTTACACATCACGTTAGAGGATTTTTTCTTGTAAATTTAGCTACTGCATTTATCTATTTTGTTGTTGTTACCAGAGCTAGTTTTTCTGCAGAAAATTCTTGTTTTTTCGCACAGCATTACATAACTTTCTCTCTACAGTGCAAGCAGTCCTGAGAAAGGAAAATAATTATCAATGAATAGTTGGAAGATCCTTTGAGGTAATTCACATTACAGTGAAATCGGGTTTGATGCAGTTGACTCATACAGGCAAGTTACAGTTGACTGTTATTCAAAACTAGATTAGTTTTGAATCAATATTCTGCTATATTTAAAATGATTTTTAAATTCTTAGGCAATGGTCACTTTTAGATTGAAATTTTAATTTTTGATGAATTTAAAAATGTTTTGTTGTGGTATGCATTTCTAATGTGGATATTTTACATAATAATTTGATTGGATACATAAACTTGTTCACTAACATAAAATTGTTCTTGCATTTGTAGTTTTTTCTGGCCATTTACAACAACATTCTTGTAATAATTGATATTACCTGAAGAGGGAAAACGATCAGTTTTACAAAACCTTGTACTAATAATTGTACAATAGAAAAAGAACATGAAACCTTCATTCACATAGAATGACCCCAATAGCTCTTCCTATTAATCAAAATATACCAGTGATTTTCAGGTATTTATTTTTTTACTGCAAAATAATCATTATATGCTATACATATAATTTTTTGAGAATTAATCACTACTGAAGAAGAATATTATTCCCTGAGCTCCAAATCTAACAAAATATAATATTACTTGCGCAACTTTTCTTGATCGATGGGTAGAAGAAACGCAAGTTGAGTGAGGGTTATAATTATGAAATCGGCAACTAGATTTTATGAAGCAATGCTAATCTCTGAAGAAACAGTCATGCCTTCCCAACTTTTTCAATAATTTGCATTCTACCTTTCTCAGAAGTTCAAGGTATTTTTTGTGATGGATCTTCACCAGTTTCGGTCATTTCTTGAGATTTTTTTTGAGAGAATCATGACAGAAGTTTTTGTCTTCAACAGAAAGTTGTTTCTGTTTCATGCCAGTTCAGATGTGTTTGGAATGTCATTAATGCTCTCTGCGAGCTTTTGCCTTCAACTGTTTATTGAGCCAGAGAGGAGGAATCGAGGTCATCGTTCAACAAAGTTGCGTGATTAATATCCATCCCTTTGAAAATATTGTGTGTTAGGTTAAGACCCTTGGGTGCAGAAGTTGGGAGTACTGACAGACAGCTGTCAACACCTCATATTGGAGATTTAGGTTGGACTGTTAGGCTGCCCCAACAGTACAAGAAAACAAGTGCCCTTAAACGTAAAACAATTATCATGATCTGGCCTGCTCTAAATTCTCTCTATAAATTTAGATATGGACCATGTATTAGAGTTTTCTACTGCATTACCTTCAGATTCACAATTTGATTTTTCTTCAAAATATTCCTCCAACATAGTATTTTAAACTACTTTCTCTTACATTTCCAAAATCATCTGCCATTTAGAGATCAAAACATTCAGATGATCTCACGAATGAGTGCTGCACAGAGCACAATGCTTCGAACCTCTTTGAAAATTGCATGTCTTGTTATTAAGTGTGAGGATATGGCAATTCCAAGTCTGATGCACCATAGAAAAAAAGAGTTACATGATCTATTATCCTCTGGTTCATCTGGTGGTAACCTTGCCACCAGATTCTAAAACATTCAACACAGGATGTGACCAGATCTCAAAAACTTATCACTAGAACTTGGCAAGGTATTGAGTTCTTAAAACACAATGGGTCTCTAGACCTCTGATGCCTAATGAAGGGTTAAGAAATTGTGAACTTGTGTGCAAAAATATGAACATTAAAGCATTTCCTCCTGCAAACGAATTCTTAATACATATTCAAACAAAATTAAGACCATAAATTCATACAGTAAACCTAATAATATTAAATTGTTTTGTTCACATGAACTACAACACACATTAAAAATATTGTACATCCAAACACTCAAAAACCCTCAACCTTTGTTAGTAGTAAAGATTATAATCTATTAAGTGGAAAATTGTTAATAGAAGCTGTTGGTCCCAGGAACAGCCAAGCATGCAGTCAGTGGCTGTCTATGCTCCCAAGCCCCAGATATCGAAGTTTGACAATTCTCCACGCTTACCTAGGAGCAGGCAAAGAGGGGTAGTTTCTGCGTCTGTGTTCAATATTACCTCGTGATCGAACCCGGGAGCTAAAGGTCAAAGAGAATGACATCAGTTAACATTCTTTCAATTGCAGAGTATAACATAACTCTTGTACAACAAGCATATTGTTCTAATCTTCGTTCTTTTTTTCTTTCAATCAATAAATTGATATAAACAGAAAAAAACACGTAATTAACAAGTGATATTCCATCAAATATTTAGAAATTAGTTAACTTCAATTAGGCAAGTGGTCCCCATTTAAGTTTCACAACATTACACCTTATCAATGTAATATAAATCTTTTTTAACCTCAATTTTCTATTCATTTTAATTCAGTGAATTTGTTTCACAGTTAATTATGTTCAATTGAGTGTTTAGTGTGTTGAAGGGCAGCTTGATCAAGCATTTTCTCCCCAGTAAAAGTACTGCAGGATCATTCAACAATTCACCTCATCACTTCCATTACAAGTAAGAAAGAATTAGAAATTGTTAAACCAGAGAGTAACTACACAAATAAACATGCCCATCCCATCACCAAATTGAACGTGAACTTATTTGAGGAAACCATTACAAAATAAATAAGAATCAAGAATACAAGAAATGAGCCAGATAAATTTATTCACACGTTTATGTCAGTTTAAAGTCAGGTCATGCAGTTAGCAACAAATGCAAGTAAAAGTCAGTCAATTGCAAGTCACAGGTCACAAACCTAAACCAGAGTCTGTGATGAGCAGAGCAAATTGGTATTACCAGTCGCATGTGGTTCACTTGTTTGAAGGAAGTACCCACTTGAACTTCTCCGTCGAGTCGCAACTAAATTCTAGATACAAGTAAGGTCCTGTGTGACAGGGTAATGAAATCAATGTTAATATCACCATTTACACAATGTTAATGTCATGTACTTCATCTTTCTTCAGTCATAATATATTCATTAAAAACTTCCTTAAAACTAGTATAACCTATAACTGTCTGTCAGTCATCACATGACACTTTATTCTTCTTGAATATTGTATATCACAAGACAAAGCTCTTCAACCCAATAAACCTTGTGCAAATGAAAAAACGAATTCATACAAAATGAGCATTTCCTGTGCAAATTCACAAATATGAATGAAAACTTGCAATCCATTTCAACACATATCACCCATAATTTCTTACAAATTTGTACAAATTTAATTTGTACAAAATTGTACAAAGAGCTCATTCAAAAATGAACATGGAAGTTCCAAAACTAGCTTTTGTCCACAATGGCCAAAAATTTACAATTTTTACATTATATTTTTATATAATAGTGTAGCAAAGCAGATCAGTAATTCTGATCTTTTGCAAATTCTCATAACTTATAATTTTCCATCCTTATTTTAATTATACTGGGTAAATTAATTCAGATTTGAAGTAATTTAGGGTCATATTCATGACTTTGAAGCTTGTAAGTAGCTATTTCCATTTCATAGTTGTTACTTAAGGAAAGTAAACTTAGAAAGAGACTTCATTTCCAAATCACAGATTTTCTGTACTTACAGTTCATTGAGGTAGTCAGGCTATTGGCAATGTGAGTCCTAGACGATGCTTTAACATTTCTCTCACCTATTTCTCCAAGTGTAACAGTGGTTATGGGCCCAGATGCATGTTAAGGGTGAAACAATGGGATTTAGTTGAGTGCCGACACGAGAAATCCGTGAATGAAACAGTGCGAAGTGGAAGCACATAAAGTGCTTCACAGCATGCACTGGTAAATTGCAGTATTGAGTCCGAATAGTTTGAAAGAACTGATTCCATGGTGGAGCATGGAACAACTATCGACAACTTGAATGGTGCAAACTATTCGTCATGGAGTTACCAAATTAAAATGGTGCTGATGGACTGTGATTTATGGACCATAGTGGAACCTGCCAAAGATGAAGGGGTTGATAAAAAGCGTCAGCACATATCAAGGCAAGGAAAGGCATACACAAAAACTGCTCTTGCCATATGCAACGAGCAGCAGATGCATCGACAAGAGAAGCATGGGAAGAGTTGCAACGGCAACAAGTAACAGTAATTTTCATATTGTGCAACTCTGTTATAAGTTGTTCCGCAGAAACTGAGTGAATACAACTCCATGGAATCTTACTTGGGACAAGTGAACAAAATGGTGACCAAGCTGCCAAGCATTGGTGGTTCTATTGACGATGGTGACCTTGCTATGACCATATGTGGGGAAGGACAGACCAGACAAAGGCATCAGTGAAGTGTTATTTTTGCAAAAAGATAATTTTGTTGGCATTTTGCTAGAGAATGACCCATGAAATTCAGAAATAACCCATTTGCTACTGCAAATATGACTGCATCTTGTGGGTCAGCTATCACGAATGGCAATGTATGGATTTTCAACTCTGGGACAAAACATTATACGACCCCAAATGAACAGTATTTCTCGTGCCTCAATTGAAACTCTGTTGAGCAAGTTCTGAACGCAAATGAAACAACGTCAACTGAAAAAGGCACTATATTTGCATCAATAATTGGGATTCATACAAAGTATGATAAAATGAAAGCACAGGATACACTTCTGGACACAGGCATCAGTCATGGAATCTTGTCTGTTAAACAACTGGTAGAAAACGATAAGGTGGTTACTTTTAAAAAAGATTGTTGTATTTATAATAATGAGGGCAAGTTGTTGATACAAACAGAGAATGAAGGCAGCCTATATTTCGTTAGAACATATATCCTAATGAGAACAACAAAGCAGCAAACATGTTGAACCACAGTCAGAAGAGATTGGAGCCATTGGACTTACGGCAAAGATTTATGCATGTTAGCAATCACCGGATCTTGAAGATGATACTTGCACAGTCCGACATTGGGTTGCATTGTGAAGAAACGAAGCTGGCTCCCTGTGACCTTGCTGGTTAAGCTGCATATCAACCATTCCCCAACAATCCAATAACTAAAGTCAAAAATAGTGCCACCCTGGATCTTATTCATAAAGATCCTAAGTTTTGGAGGTAAGATATGCTTTGGGCCTAGAGGAAGATGCCAGTTGATATGTTTTCATCAGACTTCCCAAAACTAATAGAAGTATTGAAAGAATTTAAAATTTGGAAGATACAAGTTGAGAGGCAGACTGGTCAAAATCTAAGAAGGTCTTCACTGATTATGAATGTCTTGAATTTTGCTCTAAGAACTGGGAAGTCTTTTGAAAGAGTCATGGGATTGTGTATGAGAAAACAACAACATACACACCACAACAAAATGGAGTGGCAGAAGGATTAAACAGAACTTTGATGGACCTTGTGAGAAACCAAATCAATGATTGTGACTTACAAAGGCTGCTTGGAGTGAACTTGGACACACCGCAGCCTACATTAAACAGTGTCACAAACAGTCATGTTAACATCAGGACACTTTATGAATTTGGGTCAGCAGAAATCTCAATGTTCAGTATCTTTGGTCCATAGAAAGCAAGGTTTTTGTGCACATCCCAAAACAAAAGCACAAAGCGTTCCTTGAAGCTCGAGCCAAGAAGTCTTGTGGGGAATACATAGGGATATAGAATCTGGATGCTAGAGGATGCTATAGGAATCAAGAGACTGCACATTTAAGGAAGGTGGGAGAAGCAAAATTGAAAGATCAGCTCTGGAGCAGTCTGGATGAAACGAACAAAAAGGGGTCATCAACTGCTACAGTGAATCAATTCCAGTGAGTATAACAGAAGAAACCAGAGTAGTTTTTGACAACTCATCAGATATGTCTGAGCAGGAATTTAGAGGCTTCCCCAATACTGAGCATGACTTCGATAATTTGTCAGATTCAAGTGCACAGGAATTTAGAGGATTTCCAGGCAATAATAATTTCCAGTACACAAGATTTAAGAGGATTCCCAATGTGAATAAAAACCCAGATGTGAATGACCGTAAGAGTACATCCAGAGAGCAATTTGGAAGACACAGCATGACACTTCAACAGAGACATTCTAGAAGCCCAGGGATTGCAGGTGATCTGAGGTGCATTTGAATAAGGTGCATGGTAACAATGAAGAAAATTGAGAATATAAACTAAACAATAATGGAAATGAACTTTTACAATTTGTCAGCACAAACAATTTAAAGAGCTCAAATACTTTCTTCAGAAAACTAATGTAAATAAATATACTTGGTGTGCAAGAGGATATAAGACATTTCCTGAATGATAAATTGAAATCACAAATACGAGATGTGCAAGTTTATTGGAGATGTGATGTAGGTTCTGATCCCTTTATATTGATTAGCAAATTCAATCTCTGGAAAAGATGGAGGACTACAAGATGACAAGAATTTCAGAAATACACAAAGTAAATCTTCTCCAAGAAAAAAGTATAAAAATGCAATATCAAATTCAGCTAAAGACAAGTGTAGTCTTTATGTAGTTTTCAAACTTTTGAAAAACAAGAGTTTCAGAAAAGGTCACTAAACAGCACAGTTATTGTCCAAACTTGGCAGATGATGGCATTTTCTGAAACTAGTTCTACCTCCAGAAATGAAATATTTTCCATAGTTTCATCGATAAGGACATTTTCTCCCAATTCCTATATGTCATAAAAATGTCAAAATTCAACGACCCCCACCTGTTGAATTTTGCTATTTTCAACACGTGCTAGATTTTTCTTAAAACTAGTGTCCTAGTACAAAGTTTAATGGCGAAAAATAGTAATGTTTGTAAAATTTGGATTTTACAAGTGTATTTGCCATTAAATTTGACCGTTAGCTGTAAATTTCCAAAAAATTTAAAAGTTGAAATTTTTCCAGCTTATTCCTACTATTACAAAATTGAAGCTAGATTTTTCCTTCGAGTAAAATTCAGGTACAAACTGAATGTTCAAAAATTAGCAATAAATTGTCATAATAAAAATAATGTTTGCAGATAAAAACAACTTATCACAAATTTTGCAATAAAATTGCTCATAGTTCAGAAGTCTTTCAATAACCAAAGATGAAATTTTGTAGGCATAAAGTACAAGTATCAAGGAGTACTTTGGTTTTTGAAAATAAAAAAAAGACCATAACATGCTTTCACAATCAATTTT